ATAAGACAGATATTCACCTTTATGTCTCTATGGAAACACGACAGGTACCCTTACGAGGGGAGAGTATCAACTCGGCGTTTATAAACCCTCTCTGCAAAGGAGGTAGGCGCATAGTGGGTTAGGTATATACAGTGTTCTTCATTGCAGAGAAAATTGTTGTTTATCTGCCTGTCTCGTCTTCATTGAGATAGATGATGAATTACAAAAATATATCGCGTTCCAGTTATGAATGTTGAAAACAGTATCCAGACTTTTCATAGATTCATATTCTATGTAGGTCCCACGATTCAAATTTGAAATTGATACTTAGTTTTAGATCTGAGCAGCACATTGTTTGGCCTTCAAGGTCCTTAATATAACCCGGCCTCGTAATTGATCATGTGGAAGATGACTACTAGGAAAACCACTATACGGAAAGAAAGCGAATATGTAGTAATCTAGTTACGGACGTTGAAAATATTATTCAGGTATGTCTCAGATTCAACATCTATATATTTCCTCTAATGATATTTTCTGATTCAAATGTACTTCGATTTAAATGTGATGTTTAGTTGCAGATCCAAGAAGCAGTGTTTGATACTTGCCACTCAATCGGAGAAAACCATCCAGTAAATACGGACCGAACAGAAGATCCTCAAAGAGAACTGACCAGAGTATAATTTACAGAATTCAGATCATGATATTCGTGCGGAAGGCGATGTATTGATATCCTTTCCAGATTCTCAAGAAAACAGATAAGACAGATATTCACCTTTATGTCTCTATGGAAACACGACAGGTACCCTTACGAGGGGAGAGTATCAACTCGGCGTTTATAAACCCTCTCTGCAAAGGAGGTAGGCGCATAGTGGGTTAGGTATATACAGTGTCCTTCATTGCAGAGAAAATTGTTGTTTATCTGCCTGTCTCGTCTTCATTGAGAAGGTTGATGAATTACAAAAATATATCGCGTTCCAGTTACGAATGTTGAAATCAATATCCAATATTCTATGTAGGTCTCACGATTCAAATTTGAAATTGATCCTTAGTTTTAGATCCGAGCAGCACATCGTTTGACCTTCAAGGTCCTTAATATAACCCACGTACGTAATTGAAAATGTGGAAGATGCCTACTGGAAAAACCACTATTTGGAAAGAAAGCGGATATGTAGCGATCTAGTTACGGACGTTGCAAATATAATTAAGGTATGTCTCAGATTCAACATCTATCTATGTATTTCCTCTAATGATATTTTCCGATTCAAATGTACTTCGATTTAAATGTGATGTTTAGTTCCAGATCCAAGGAGAAGTGTTTGATACTTGCCACCCAATCAGAGAAAACCATCCAGTAAATAAGGACCGAACAGAAGATCCGCAAAGAGAACTGACCAGAGTATACTTTACAGAATTCAGATCATTATATTCGTACGGAAGGCGATATATTGATATCCTTTCCAGATTCTCAAGAAAACAGATAAGACAGATATTCACCTTTATGTCTCTATGGAAATACGACAGGTACCCTTACGAGGGGAGAGTATCAACTCGGCGTTTATAAACCCTCTCTGCAAAGGAGGTAGGCGCATGGTGGGTTAGGTATATACAGTGTTCTTCATTGCAGAGAAAATTGTTGTTTATCTGCCTGTCTCGTCTTCATTGAGATAGTTGATGAATTACAAAAATATATCGCGTTCCAGTTACGAATGTTGAAATCAAGATCCAATATTCTATGTAGGTCTCACGATTCAAATTTGAAATTGATCCTTAGTTTTAGATCCGAGCAGCACATCGTTTGACCTTCAAGGTCCTTAATATAACCCACGTACGTAATTGAAAATGTGGAAGATGCCTACTGGGAAAAACACTATTCGGAAAGAAAATGGATATGTAGCAATCCAGTTACGGACGTTGAATATATTATTCAGGTATGAATCACATAAAACATCCATGTAATTCATCTAATGATATTTATTTTCTGATATGAATGTACTTCGATGTGATGTTCTGTTGCAGATCAGAGAAGCAGTATTTGATACTTGCCACTCAATCGGAGAAAACCATCCAGTCCATACGAACCGAACAGAAGATCCGCAAAGAGAACTGACCAGAGTATACTTTACAGAATTCAGATCATTATATTCGTACGGAAGGCGATATATTGATATCCTTTCCAGATTCTCAAGAAAACAGATAAGACAGATATTCACCTTTATGTCTCTATGGAAATACGACAGGTACCCTTACGAGGGGAGAGTATCAACTCGGCGTTTATAAACCCTCTCTGCAAAGGAGGTAGGCGCATGGTGGGTTAGGTATATACAGTGTTCTTCATTGCAGAGAAAATTGTTGTTTATCTGCCTGTCTCGTCTTCATTGAGATAGTTGATGAATTACAAAAATATATCGCGTTCCAGTTACGAATGTTGAAATCAAGATCCAATATTCTATGTAGGTCTCACGATTCAAATTTGAAATTGATCCTTAGTTTTAGATCCGAGCAGCACATCGTTTGACCTTCAAGGTCCTTAATATAACCCACGTACGTAATTGAAAATGTGGAAGATGCCTACTGGGAAAAACACTATTCGGAAAGAAAATGGATATGTAGCAATCCAGTTACGGACGTTGAATATATTATTCAGGTATGAATCACATAAAACATCCATGTAATTCATCTAATGATATTTATTTTCTGATATGAATGTACTTCGATGTGATGTTCTGTTGCAGATCAGAGAAGCAGTATTTGATACTTGCCACTCAATCGGAGAAAACCATCCAGTCCATACGAACCGAACAGAAGATTCACAAAGTGAACTGACCAGAGTATACTTTACAGAATTCAGATCATTATATTCGTACGGAAGGCGATATATTGATATCCTTCCCAAATTCTCAAGAAAACAGATAAGACAGATATTCACCTTTATGTCTCTATGGAAATACGACAGGTACCCTTACGAGGGGAGAGTATCAACTCGGCGTTTATAAACCCTCTCTGCAAAGGAGGTAGGCGCATGGTGGGTTAGGTATATACAGTGTTTTTCATTGCAGAGAAAATTGTTGTTTATCTGCCTGTCTCGTCTTCATTGAGATAGTTGATGAATTACAAAAATATATCGCGTTCCAGTTACGAATGTTGAAATCAATATCCAATATTCTATGTAGGTCTCACGATTCAAATTTGAAATTGATCCTTAGTTTTAGATCCGAGCAGCACATCGTTTGACCTTCAAGGTCCTTAATATAACCCACGTACGTAATTGAAAATGTGGAAGATGCCTACTGGGAAAAACACTATTCGGAAAGAAAATGGATATGTAGCAATCCAGTTACGGACGTTGAATACATTATTCAGGTATGAATCACATAAAACATCCATGTAATTCATCTAATAATATTCATTTTCTGATATGAATGTACTTCGATGTGATGTTCTGTTGCAGATCAGAGAAGCAGTATTTCATACTTGCCACTCAATCGGAGAAAACCATCCAGTCCATACGAACCGAACAGAAGAATCACAAAGTGAACTGACCAGAGTATACTTATGGTGACCAATTATGTTATATATATTTTTATAATATAATTAAAACTCAAAGTCTTATAATTTGTATCAATTGTATCCACAATTTGGTGACCCCGAAGTGATATTATGGAGCAGTTGGGCGATGGCGAGATCATACAAATTTTAAGACATTTCAACATCCATGTTAGTGATTCGATGGAATTTTCTGTACATTAAAAAAACTTATAAGGACCAATAAAAACTGTTTTTCGATATGTACTGAATATTGTATATTATTATTGTGACTTCCCCTCCCCTGAGATTATTTCTGCGGATGCCCCTGACTATGAGTAGACAGCATGTGCCCTATCCTACATTCTTCGGCTCCGTCGTGCACAGCTAGAGTACTGCGTCCCCTTCTATCGCATCAAGTAGTACTCGCAATGCTCCTCGTCTTACACCCAATTTTTCCATTTGAAAGCCTGGCAACCCCTATTCATGAACGGATTGTGCAGGGCAACCCTATACTACTGTATTCGTTATAAAATTGCCTTCATTTTGAAATATTTCACGAATGGTAAGCATATCGGTGCAATTATCACTATCAGCTTGCCTGTTTGTATACGGCAACCATCTAATAGGGACCAGAAAAATATAGGCAACCTAGCTGTTTCATATTCTATATATTGTATGCTTTCCATCGGACTCTCATTCATTTGGCAAGCAGGTTGGTGAAATTTAAAAAAAAAATATTTCTTAAAATTTTTATTTATCATAGTCATGAACACATTTTTTATGGCAGCCCTATAGGTACATGTTCAGAAACATATTTTATTTGATAAATAGTTATTCATTATACAAGGGAAAAAAGTAGTAGATTTTAGCTCCAGGTTGTGTTGTCTCCCGACGCGTAGCGGAGGGAGACAAAAAACCGTGAGCTAAAATCTAATATTTTTCCCGTGTATAATACACTATTTTTTTCTGTGACAGAAGAAAGGACGAATCAATATTGAGAAGATATTACATTATTTTGAAGTCTGTAAATTATCGACGTGAAATTTTAAGTTTTTAACAGTAGGGACACCTGCGTTGTGGGCATCTTTATCATTCTTTTGAAGTAATCAAATATCTGATGTCACTTCTGTCAGTCTAATTCTGTGATTTGCTTTCAAAAAATTACGAATTTAGTGGTTGTTTAGTAATATACGTAACCGCCAAGTCGAATGGAAAATAAAAGGACTTGCAGTTCTTTCTCGTAGACGGTATTATTGACTCATTTTTCGGAACTATAGCACAACAAAAGCCATCAACAGTGTATATATATGTGAAATATATCCGGGAAAAAAGTAATTTATGAAAAGTGACATTTTATAACCTGCCAACAGAGATGAAATGCCAAACTTTTTTCCCCGTCACAGAAAAAATATAATTTTCATCCGGCAAGCAGATGAGTGAAGGTCGACCTTACTTGGCATCTTAGACTACAAGGAACGACGCTGCTCAACACTCACTTTCTGTATTCCGCATCCAGCGTAGTGCTGCCGTAGTGCTGCGCCAACTTCATCGCATTCACTAGCTCCGCCATATCCTTGCTCAGCACCTTGTGCGCCATCTCCACCTCGCGCTGCGCCGCGTTCGGAAAGGCGCCGACGATCTCGTCGACGCTGGCCAGCAGGCTGCGCAGCTCCAGACCGACGCGCTTGACCAGATCGAGGTAGCGGTCGGCGTCGGCCTGCTGGACGCCTTGCGAGAGCGACATGACGGCTCGCACCACGTCCGTGGTGGTCTCGTAGACGCGGTCGTGCGTGCGGTCCAGGTTGGCCGTGGGATTCTGGCCGGGATCCTGCGAGAGAGAGAGAGAGATGAAGATAGAAAAAGCTACAGTGGCTTTGTATTTATATTTCATAATGTCATAATGCACTTTCCAGTTTCTTCTTTTTCGTGGAGGCCACAAGTGCAGTTTTACTAGGATTGACCCTGAGGTCTGCATTTCTGCACCAGCCCTCTACTATCTTCAGGGCTCGCTGCATCAAGTCTAAAATAATTTCAGGATTGTGCCCCTCTACCAGAATGACGACATCATCTGCATACCCTTGTGAGTAAAAACCTACATTGTTTAGTTTTTCCAGGAGTTCGTCAATAACCAGATCCCACAGCAGGGGAGAAAGAACTCCTCCCTGTGGGCAACCCCTAGAAATCGTCACCTCCATGGTTTCACCAAGCAATGAAGATTCCGCTGTTCTATTGATTGATTGATTGATTGATTGTCTTTATTACTCCAAGAAACATTTCTGTTTATGATAGGGATACATAAATACATATAAAAAAATAATAATAAAGGGTTAACTATAATGAATTCCACTCAGTGGAAACGAATTAATATTGTGTCTTATAAGATTAAAGTTATATTTCATTCCTAAGTAATCAAATCATGCCACATATTTTTCATTCAAATTGTCCTGAGCAAGTATTTTTTAAGATTGATTTTAAACCTTCTCGCATCATGTACATTTTTCAACTCATTCGGTAATGAATTGTATAAAATTATTCCATTGTGAAAAACAGATTGTTTGCCAATGTTTGACTTGAATGTATTTGCTATCAAGTAATTCAATTGTCTAGTCCCATAATTATGGACTGTATTGACTTCATTGAAAGCTAAATTTGATATTTTCAATTTATTCCTGGCAAAATGAATAAAGCAACATATTTTAAGTTCATATAAGGAAATCAGGTTCAGAAAATGTCTTGGTTTGTATAAATTTATCGTTGGTTCTAGAAAATGTAGATGAAAAATGCACTTAATTGATTTGTTTTGTAATTTCATTAGTGGTTTCAGATAAATATTGCAAATTTGAATAAATGAGGCAAAAGTAAATACATTTCAAGTATTTTATGGGAATAATATTTCGGATTTTGAATAAAATGCCTATGATCGGATTCATTTTATTCCTCAAATAGTCTAGATGTTTAGTCCATAATAATTTTTCGTCGATATAGAGACCTAAAAATTTTGTCACGTCTGTATATTTAATTAATCTATTGTTGAAAGTTATAGCATTATTCGAAATATTAACTGATCTTTTGGAAATATACATATATGAAGATTTGTTATAATTGAGAGTCAACTTATGAATTTGCATCCAAGATGATATGTTTTCCAAATCACTTGTAATATCCCGTTCGATATCATTTAATTCTTTCGATATATAAATCAATGTTGTATCATCCGCAAATAATTTTAGCTTTCCTTTCAATTTCAGAGTTGATATTGAATTAATATAAATTAAAAATAAAATTGGTCCCAGAACTGATCCTTGCGGTACTCCACATGTAATATTCTTTAGTGAGCCAGAAAGATCATTCACTTCAACATACTGCTTTCTATTTGTCAAATAATGTGTGAACCAATCATGAATTCTTCCTCTGACGCCGATTGAATATAATTTATTTAGTAAAATTTTATGATCTACAGTGTCAAATGCCTTACATAGGTCCAAGGACAAGAAGCCACATTTATAATTTTCATCAATCCGTGACTGAATATCCGAAATTACATCCATTACAGCTATCTCTGTATCCTTTGACCTACGGAATCCATATTGACCACTGTACAATAGATTGTTATTTTATTGTGTAGCATGTTTTCTATTCACCGACATGTAGTGTCTGTATTATTTCTATATTAATTATTGTCATATTTTCCATCATGAAGAAGAGTTTGACGATGAAGAAGGAAGTGAAAAATGATGTATCCAATTCGTTGAATAAAATAACAGACCAATGAAAAATCGGCAAGCATAAATCCACCTCACCTTTTTCTCCGTCTCGCTTATCACAGATCCGCTTTGCGACGTATCGCTGGCCTCGTTTCTGCCACTCAACGTCATCGTATTGGTCAGCGAGCCGGCCGGCGACTGACAGTTGCTGCTACCCGCCGACGATGACGTCACCGGCCCACCCGATGACGTCAGGGGCCCGCCCGACGACGTAAGGGGCCCGCCCGATGACGTCAGGGGCCCACCTGAAGAGGTCAGGGGGCCCGATGACGTCTGGTAGGGCGCGGGGTTGATGTAGCTGGGGCTGCTCGTTTGAGGGGACGGAGGAGTGGGGGTGCTGGTTGATAAGTCCGAGGGAAGGTCGTCAGGGTGTTGGATCGTGCTCAACCTCTTCTGCGAATGACAAGGGTGCGATTTCTATTTTTGAGAAATTGAAGGGATGTTGTGCAAGTGTGTGCCGTTGACAGATAACATTCTAATGAATGTGGGCTGACATATCTTATTGTCCACCAGATCGCGCTACTGAGACTTGAGGTTAGAGTTGGTAGAACTGATAGGTATATTTTTTTTTGTGTTGAGAGTAAAAAGCGCAAATCTGCTCAAGACTTCGATAACTTGAGTTTCTTTATTTGTTTAGATAGGCCACATCATTCTTTCAGAATATTGTCGATAAAACAGGCCACAGCCTTCAGGGAAATTCGGCAAAATTTTGGGACTTTTGACATAGACCTCATTACTCACCAATTGAGTTTCTGACTCTGCTAGCCATTTGGAGTCTTCTTCCGACTCCTGCAGTTGTTGTCTGAGTTTCTGCCTCAACATACTGTTAAAATTTGAAGGATTGGGCGATGGATCATAACGGATGCTTTCCAACATGAGCTGGTCTCCATATATCGATGACATGGGCTGAAAAACACGCATATCAAAACATTTTTACAAAATAGAGAAGAGACATTCTAATACTAAATGAGTTATTTTGCAAAACTGCTTTTTTTCAGTATGAGTCTGAATGTATCTTGGTGCTAGCAAGTGAACCATAAGGCAAATGAGCTGGACTGGGTTTTATCATTCAACAATATTTACATTGATGCCACAAACATAAAAATATTTTTCATTCCACTCAAATGTGTTGCACATTATGTTGTGCTATATGAATTTTTCATCTACATTTTCTAAAACCAACGGTGAATTTATACAAACTTAGATATTTTATGAACCTGATTTCTTTATATATACTTGGATTATGCTGTTTAATTCTTTTTGCCAGGAATAAATTGAAAATATCAAATTTAACTTTTAATGAAGTCAATACAGTCCATAGTTATGGGAGTAGACAATTGAATTACTTGATAGCAACTACATTCAAGTCGAACATTGGCAAACAATCTGTATTTCACAATGGAATAATTTTATACAATTCATTACCAAATGAGTTGAAAAATATACATGATACAAGGTTTAAAATCAATCTTAAAAAATACATGCTCAGGACAATTTGAATGAACAACATGTGGCATGATTTGATTACTCAGAAATGAAATGTTATAACTTTCATCTTAAGAAACAATATCAATTTGTTTCCACTCAGTGGAATTCATTAATTAATCCTTTATTATATATTTAATGTACATTGGGGTAATAAAGACAATAAATGTATTGCGAATTCGCAGGTCATTTCGAAATATTTCTGAAATATGGGTGTGAATCAAAACAATTCCATGCATCATGCCAAATGTGCAAACACCTATCCGAGTTCCGTGAAAACGGAATGAAAAACGTTCAGACAACTCCCATATGCCACGTTCATCTTCCCCTGAAACTATCAAGGTTTTTCCCAGTTTATCCAAAATACCTCTTTGTATGTTCCAATGTATATTTTGTTGACGTTTTTGAATAAACTTATTATTATTATTTTCTTAAATTAAGACTAGTCTCTATCCATAAATAGCGCAGGAATAACTCTGGACTGAGATGAAATATCCAACTCGGAACGAAGATTCACCAATATTACAGAGATTACATTTCGAATGATCGAAAAAAGAAAAACAACACTTAAGTGCACTAGTCAAAACAATTCCATGCATCATGTCAAATCAACAAAAACCAATCAAAACGTGAAAACACTCAGACAACAAACTTGCATGCCACTTTCAAACCAGTGCCAGAGCCTTTTGCAAGAAAAATTGCTACGCGCAATTCTTGACATCCGGCCTGGGTACCAGTGTAGAGATAATGAAGCACGTGTGACTTTTTGTATGCCTCAGTTATCCGATGAATCCGGCCTGGGTACCGGCGTAGAGATAATGGAGCACGTTTTAGTTTCTGTATAACCCCTGTTATATTCTTTCGCCTATTGCACTTAAAGAAAATCAGTTTCGCCTAAACCGTATTAGCAGTATTTGACTTTTGAATATTCTGACAAAATGTTGACAAGTTTTTCTATTTTTATCAATCACCATAACATTTGAAGAAATACAGAGTGACAAATAATTATTTCTGTAACATTCTCCCTCGTAGTTCATTACTCCTCTTAATCTTGTTATTTATTTATTTCAGTTATTGCATTACATTCTCTTCTTCATTGATACATTTCATACAAATAATATATAAAGTATAATTAATTTTCTAGTAGGAATGACATGAATGATCAGACAGTAATTCCTGGTATAAGATCATTCATGAAGTATTATCGACTGTTGTATAATTGAAATTACAAATAGTGAACAAAACTTACATATCATTAAGATACAGTCATATTATAGTGAACAAGAAGGGGAAAAATAAAAACATTGAAAAAAAAAAGAAAAAAGGAAATTCATAGTCTTTCAGCTTTGATCATTCCTTTGCATATAAATATATTTCTTAACTTTATTTTTGAATTGCATAATATTTGGGCTGTATTTGATATCATCTGGTAATTTATTGAACATCCAACTTGCATAACTTGACGACCGGTCTTCTGTATGTTCCCATATGTGTCTTGATATCTGCAATCCTGATCTGGTCATCCCGACTTGGGAAGACAGATGTTACGATTCCTTTCAACCAACAGTTTCGGGGGAGTTCAGGATCGACGATTATTACCACATCTCTTCCAAAAATGGTCAGCAAAATATTGCGCAATGCGCCATTGTTTTCTTGACACCAATTCTTTTTCAGAAGTACAACAGGGTACGGAGGCATCACTTGAAGCGCCAATCAAAAAATGATTGGGAGTGGGAGTTCCTTCATCAAGTGAAACATGAACCAATGGACGACTGTTCACGATATTTTCTGCTTCAACCATCAAAGTTGCCAAAACTTCGCCTTTGGGATACTGATCTTTCAAAATGCTTTTCAATGCAATCTTAACTGACCTTACCAGCCTTTCCCAACTTCCAGCCATGTGAGGACTCAAAGGTGGCAAAAATATCCATTTGATGCCATCAGGTGATAGTGTGTCCACAATTCTTGTCTGATTCAATTCTGTTACAGCTTCCTTCAATTCAGTATCCGCTCCTCTTAAATTCGTTCCATTATCAGAAAATATCTTCTTCGGACAACCTCGTCTTCCTATAAGTCTTCGTATCGCCATTATCGCTGAATCCGTTGTCATTGAATGAGCAATTTTTAAATGTATAGCTCTAGTGGAGAGACATGTAAAAAGTACACCGTATCGTTTTTCATGTCTCCTTCCAACAGTGACACTCATTGGACCGAAATAATCCATTCCTGTATGAGTGAATGGTCTGACAAAACCAGCTACTCTACATGTTGCTAGTGGAGACATTTCAGGAACCATAGGCTTCGACCTCATTTTTTGACACCTTTGACATGAGTTCCAGTTGCTTCTTACTGCTGGTCGTCCACGGAGAATCCGATACTTTCACCGAAAAAGCCGAATGAGATAATGGGACCAGATCAATTTCACACACATTAATCAAACTCCACATTGAATATTAAGAATTATCTCCAGATCAGTAATTATTTTTCAAATTTTGGACTTATGCACATTTGTACTTGACTTCCAGACCAGGTGATATCCGTCTGATCACTACTGCGGCCGGAAGGCAAATCGATTCTGTACTGAAATGAAAAAAGAAATCGAACACCAAACGATGTTTCACGAACATTGCAGAAAATCCCTATCAATGAAAATATGAACTAAACACGAAATTGATTAGTGCACGAATGAAAACAAATCCATGCATCATGCCAAACCAACAAAAACCAATCAAAACGTGAAAACACTCAGAGAACAAACTTGCATGCCACTTTCGAACCTGCGCCATCGCCTTTTGCACGAAAAATTGCTGCTTGCGCGCGCAACTTTTAACATCCGCCCCTCCGAAATCGTAAATGCTCTCTTCAAAGTGTTGCATCTCTCTCCCTTTCTCGCTAAACTGATAAACAACAGGAGAGGGATGGAAGTTTGGGACATCTTCAAGGTCGAACCCAGAAGCTTGGGCGGGAATCTTGTGGGCATGTCGCTCCAACGAGCCCATTTTGGGAGAGGTAGTGCGCGACTTGCGCTCCAAAGAGCCCAACTTCGGACTGAACTTCGGCGAGCCGGCCTTCCGTTCCAGCGAGCCCATGCGCGGCGTGGCGCTGCCGGTGCTGGTCCGGGAGGCCGTGCGCTCCAAAGTTCCGGTCTTTTTGGGCCCCTCGGGGGTTTCTTGTACCTCGGGATCGAGCTTTTGGAGGTTCTGTCGGGGGATGGGTTGGGTGACTAGGACGGGCTCGGGAGCGTTCTCTTTCTGGTGGAAATCGACGGCTACCGTGTTAAATACCGAGGCGGGGGTGTTGTAGGCTGCCGGGTTGAAGCCCCTGCACTCGTTCTCTTTCAGCAGGTGGGCCAGGACCTCGTGGTTCTGGGCTACGATGTAGGTTTGCGAGACCGGAGCTGGTTCTGATAGGGCGTACGATGAGGAGTCGGCAGCTGAAAGAAAAAAAAAACAGGAATAGAGCATAAATTCAATGAACATTTCAGAAACTTGAATAAAAAATTGTCTTCTGGTTGTTATGCTGTGAAAATTTCAGCGAATGAAATAGGATACTCAACCGCAAAGACAGTATACTACTCCTTGCTAGAATCTCATTTGCGGTACGGTATCTCATTCTGGGGAGTGTGCAGTGGTAATGTGCTCTAAAGTGTTTTTGTTTTACAAAAACGAGCCCTGAGATACCTCTGTGAACTAAAATTTCGCGATTCGTGCAGACTTCACTTCAAGCAACACAACATACTCACGGTAGTTTCAACGCAATAGAATCAATCATAACATGAATAAAATCATTGATTTTCGACACATTGAGTGGAATGTAGAAATTACCAAAACAGGTTATAACCATTGGCATTTTCGATGAAAAAATATAGAATTGTGCGAGACATTATATTATGCTATTCGTTTCCATATCTGTTTTCGTTTAAATTATCGACATTGGTCGTAGATTGTTCAGGTGGAATTTTTTTATCAATATAAAAATACCTCAGAAAATACAAAAACTGACAGAAACTCAATTATTTGCAAATTGAACCCAAAATTCAAAATTTGATTCACAAGATTTAGCTGGTATTGTTGTTAGGCAATACTAGGGTTCCTATCAGCGTTGCTAGGCAACCAGCAACTTTGAACAGCAGTGTTATTAAATAAATAGCAGCATTGTCAAGAAAACAGCAATGTTGCTAGGCAGTAGGAATCCATCCTAAACAGCAGCATGGATAGATTTCCTTGGTATGTTCGGAATTACCAGATCGCCAGGGATCTGAAACTCCCTCCAATTGTGTCAGTCATTAGAGAACGAAACATCAAGACTTTCGAAAAAGCTGAGGTTCATGAGAATCAGCTTCTTCGAAATGCAGCTGATTATGACCCAGGTGATCAATCAAAGTTCAAAAGACCGAGATTGTCCATAAACTAGAGAAAATATCGACATTATGACCAAATTTACTATTTTCAAGTTTTTGATATTCATTTATTCCGTTCGATCTCTTTCAATTCTCAGAATATATTTCTGAAACTCATTTGGGGCAGAAGGGCTGTTCGCATCAAACTTCAATACCGTTTTTATTTTGTTTCATAAGAGATATAAGGATAAGAGGGACTCTTCCCTGGTCTGAATCAAATAAAAGAAAGATCCAATAATATGGATAAATTATCAGCAATGGTATATGGCTACATTTTTAATAATGAAAAAAGTTATCTATTATACAAGGAAAACGCGAATTAGATTTCTGCTCGAGGTTGTGTTGTCTGTTGTCTCTCGACGTGTAGCGGAGGGAGACAAAAATCTGCCAACAGAGATGAAATTTCAAACTTATTTTCCGTCACTAAAAAAAAATTTTTTCCGAACACTATTCCTACGACGACTCACCTTGCATGGGATACCGACTCGGCTTTGGCGGCGGAACGAAATCATCGTCGCACCCCCACGACATCGCCGCCATCTTCCTGTTCTCCCTGCGCAGCGTGTCCTGCTGTGCGCTCCGCTCCTCCAGCAGGATCTCCTGCAGGATCTCTTTGACGTCCTTCATAATAATAATAATGTTAATAACATTTATTGATGCCAAGAAACATACATGTTTATGGAGGGATACAAGAAAAATAGATGAATAAACGAATTGAATATCCAATAAAATGGAATATGAACAGTTGAATCGGAATTGATCAATGATAATACTGATTATAATCATACAGAAATAATGACCAGTTCTACATGAGTTCTACCGTTTATGTAGAAAATTTTGCAGGCCAGTTGGCTTTGCCCGTCACTTTGAAGTATCTGTCAAATTACGACTCGTTTGATATTTTCATTCTTCAAGCAGCACAAATTGTACTATTTTCTTCGTCCATCCATATCGTTTCATCACCAGTTACTTGATAAAAATACATCATGCAACTGATGGTTACCTAAAGTCAAAATTAGAGAACAATTTTTTTTCCTCATTTATTTATTTGTGTTGTCGATGAAAGGTTTTCAGGTAAAATTGTTCTTTCCTTCCCACCTATTGATATATACATTTTATCGAAAGTGTATTGACTATAAACATAAACAAAATATGTTTTGGACCAAAATACAAATGACAAACTCGTAATATAATGAACAAATTCAAAGTGATATTTCTGTTCCATAATCCATTCAATGAAATACATATATGTATCTATAATATTGTGAAACATTCAATTACTTATTATGTTTTATCATACTCTCTTCCAATCTATATTGTCGTATGGAATAATTGGATGGGGTGGTATGTATGAGATCCATCTCAAACCTTTATTATGTATTCAAAAATATGTTTTGAAAATAATAATTCTGAAATCATTCGATAATACATCAGTCTCATTATTAATAGAAAATAACATATTAAATGTTATGAGGAACATTGTCCGTAGAAATATCTACAAAAAAGTGTAAGGTCGCCGAATTTTCAACAGTGTTCCAATGATAAAGACAATTATTCTATAAAGCGTCAGTAATATTCGTTAAAAAGTGTCCAGCAATATCGAATAAAATCAATCATAGTTATGATACAAGAAACAAAATAAACAATGTATGACTTGAAAAACGTAAACTTAATATTTTGGAACAAGATTCTAGTTTCATTGGATCTTAAATTTACAATAAAATCCCATCAAAAATAAAAAGTCTAAATAATATAATTTTCAAAAGAGAAGGATAATTTATCTCTTTCACACACAGGCCACTAACCTATGTGAATGAGAAACTATTTGAAATATATATACCATGTGACACAGGAGACATGTAGCAGCTTGTAGTTTTTTTATTTGAAGAGATAAAATTTTGAAATTCACAGGGGGTATATAATAAATGGTTGCACACTTTACGACAATTTTTTTTCAACCACCTGTTTGACCGGAAGTGACCTAAACTTTTTTTTTTAAATGTCACCCTATACATTCTTCAGTCTATCTTTTCCGCCATGAAATTCTCTATCCAACCATGTATCATAAAGTGGCATTTATTTCTTAATCCGCTGTTGAATTGCTTTTTATTCAAAAAGAATAAGTTGGCTGTGACATGAATTCGATGATATATGGACACTTGGTAGGCTTTGAAATTTAAAGATCATTAGTAAACCGATATTATTCAAAATGTTTTGATATTCTGATTAATGTCTGCAGGTTGTCAATAGCTTGTTTGAGTCAAGATGAAAACCTTCGAAAATAACTCATGATATTGAGGAATCTAAGATAGGAACATATTTTCTCGAATTCTGCTACTCATACAAAAACTATCTGTCTTTCATTTTTGCTCATAGCTCTTGATACGAAACATAATATTTCTGTAGGAACTATAAAATAAATGCAATTCTTAGATAAGAAATTCATAATTCACACAGTCAAACACAAATGGAAGCAAACCCAAATACATCACTATTCATATTCAAAGTGCCTCCCCTGATTTTCCTGGCACATCCTGACTTTCTGAACAATTGCTCTGAGAACATTCAGTAGCTGCTCTTCAGTAATTTCATTGATAGCAGTTCTTAATTCGAAAATTGAATGGAAAATAAGTATTTCCATTCAAAAAAATTAAGTTGGTCATCGTAACTCATTTTTGAGCCACCCTGTATAAATGAATCAACTACCATAAAAACCGCAGGAAAAAATAAAAATCGACCTGTCCGAGCGTTTTCCCAAGAAACACAGGCGTGACTTTTAAATATCGAAAAGCGTCTGTAGGAGTGTCAGGACACCCATTTCCCATACCTTGAAGCTGGGCCTTTTGCTCGGCTCGTACGACCAGCACTGCGACATGAGCGAGTAGAGGCGCGGGGGGCAGTGGGGCGGTAAAGCGAGCCGTTCGCCGTTCTCGATTTTGCCGATGACGTCGTTGTTCTTCACGCCGAGGAACGGTTTGATGCCGTACATGAGGATCTCCCAGATGCACACGCCTAGGAGGAATTGAAAAAAAAAATAGTCATATTTATGTAAACTGTTTTGGTTGGATTGAGACAGGCACGCCTTAACACCTGCAAATCGGTTTCACGTTATTGGCCCTGATCAGTGCAGGGCAGTCATCAGACAGAGGTCCGAAGACCTCTTGCATTAGCGATACCAGACTCAAGTGAAGCACAATACACATAGAAATTTTGGAAAACTCTCATTTCATTTCCACATTCTGTTAGTTGGAAATATGTACCTATTGACATAAATAACCCTGAACGAGTCGATGAAAATCATCAATGCGGTTTATTATTATTAGATCTATCCAAAGCTTTTGATACTGTTAACCAAAACATTTTATTGAATAAATTATTTGCAATTGGTGTCAGAGGAAGAATTCATGAATGGTTCCAAAACTATCTATCAAATAAAAAACAATATGTTGATGTGAGTGATACTTGCAGCTCCTTACGGTGTACCGCAAGGGTCAGTATTGGGACCAGTTTTATTTTTAATCTACATAAATACATCAATTGAATTATTTGCAGATGACACGACATCGATTTATTCCTCCAAAAATTCAAATGATATTATCATGGACATGAAAAGTGATTTAGAGAAAATATCCTCTTGGTTACAAGTTCATAAACAGAACACTGAACATTTCGAATAGAACACCATTCTTCAACAATAAACTCATCAAATATACACATAGGCATTGTAACTGATGATTTTTTTTGATATGCTCCTCCGACCGAAATTTTTAAAATAAAATTTTATGAGCGTGCTCTGGTCTTGAATTCAAGAAACAATCTCCAAACTGGATATATTCGACAAACACTCACCGAACATCCAAACGTCGCTAGCAGTCGTGAACCTTCTGAAATTAATGCTCTCTGGACTCATCCACTTGATCGGTAACTTCATCTTCGAGGCTTTGTAGTAGCTTTGGTCGTCGCCCATCCATCTCAAATCGAATGAAAATTTGTTTTATTGGTTTAATGCCCGAAGAAGGATATCTCAGTGACAAAGCATCAAGATTTTATACACGCCTTTTCTAATTGTATCAATCATTGAGAAGATGTCCCAAACTCAATATGAAAATTGCAAATGTAGTAGGGATCTTGTTCTAGAAATAATTTTAATAAAATATCAACATTATATAGGAAATCATTAAAAGTACTGTATTGTCTTCCATATGATACACCAACAACTGAACTGTATGCTTTAACAAAAACATATTCTTCAGAAGAACTGAACAAGTGTACACATTAGAGACTCTGAAAACCTCATACAATATCATAAGGTTAGATAGGGAGTCGAAATCTTGGGGTTTCATTGCACAATAAATTGGACACTCAAGCAATATAGTTATATCTATAGTTTCCAGTTCTTTCATGTTACATATTGTAAAAATTTCCCGCGGATCTATTCCATATGTAGAGCCGCTCAGTGTGGATTTAATGATGTATTTATTACAAAGACGGAGTTGTGCAATGGTTCTTTTAACTAGGATAGGTGCATTGAGGTTAGAATAATCTTGGTTTGATCTGGTTATTCTAAGAAAGCAATGAAGAGAGAGAAACGCAGAAATGAGACATTGTCTTGAAATAACTTTTCCTGAAATTCGAGCATTATGATTTTTTATGGCAAGTTATGGATTTCAATTTGAGACCTTAGAATGTGATGTCTTTCCCGCAAAAGAAATAAATAAAATAAACTCCTTCCAATAAGAAGAAATCACACCATTTGAATTTTTATGCATCAAAACAAAAATCACACCAAGAAACCAATGACCCTCACCTCGACAGCCCGAAATCGGCCAACTTGACGCACTTATCCGACGACACCAGCACATTCCTCGCCGCAATGTCCCTGTGCACGTACTTCTTCGACTCGAGGTAGCTGAGCGCCGTCGACAGCTGGTAGGCGTACAGCAGCAGCGTTGCCAAATCGAGGCGCGCCTTGTTCGTCTGCAGGTAGGAACGGAGTTCGCCGAGTTTCGCTAGCTCCATCACGATCCACACCGGGGATTCGGAGCACACGCCGATCAGCTTGATGATGTGCTGGTGGTCGAACTTTTGCATTATATCTGGAAATGAGTCGTGAAGTTTGTTTACAAATACAGTCCACTATCTATCAAGCATCGAACATACTGGTCCTTCGAGCCGGATCTATTCAAATCAAACCTTCAAGCCAGCCAAGTTCTCTACTTGGAGTAACAGTGAATGACAAGCAGCTGGAGCTTCCACATGTAGCAACAAGCAGTTCAAGCGAACAAAGTTCATGATTTTTGCAGCTTTAATTTCGTGTGGGTCTCAACTAGACGATTCAGGGATATCGCTCTCTAATGTACTTGAAACTTTTGTTTCAACGTTTTTGTAAATTTCAAGATCTCAATTTAGAGTAGGGACACTCTGACAAACACTAATATTCAGACATAATTATAAATAGATAGAGAATTCCAATTCTCGTATCAATCTTAATTTCATTATATCATCATATCCATACAAATACAGTCCACTATCTATCAAACATCGAACATATTGGTCCTTCGAGCCGGATTTATTCAAATCAAACCTTCAAGACTGCCAAATTCTTTGCAAAGGATACAGAGCTGCACTCAAGACTACCTGAAGGAACAGTGAATTCCAAGCACCTGGAGCTTTCACAGGTAGCAGCAAGCAGTTTGAGTAAACAAAGTTCATGAAATTTTGCACAAAGCGGTAGATCAAAACATAAAGTGAACAATGGACATTTTCGTGTCTCGAATTGTCATATTTTTCGTTCGCTGGAGCTGACTTGACACAAAAATATCAGTACCTCAAAGGAATCCATTCTAACAAAAAGCTCAAAAGATGATCATATGTGTACAACGTCGATAATGTTCATTTCAAATGAGTTTGTTAGAGTATTTCAGCCTGCTGAAGTTGATTTTTTAAGGTCAACTCCGTTCATTGCATGATGTAAACAGAGAAAGTCATGTACGTTGACAAAGAATAAAAAATGCAATTTGACATTTTTTCTGAGATGTCACAGCGAAGCTCTCTAAAATTTGTTGGTATTGAAAATTCACTTACAAGCTTCTTCGAGGAACTTTTCCGTAGTAGCGGCGTCAGCGTCTCCCTTACAAGTTTTCACAGCCACTGGGATTTGCACGCCATCTTTGACCTTGACCGTTCCTTTGTGAACGTCACCGAACTGACCTTCTCCGAGTATTTCGTGCAGTTCGATTTGACTCCGAATCACCTCATAGTTTCTAGCTGAAAATGTCACACCTCTACATTAGAACAGATGAAATGCCTATATTTCGACTCATTACAAAGGCAATCAAAAAAATTTTCGATACATTTTTTAAGGTATTGTGATGAGTGAAAAAATTAACACAAACGAATTATGCCTATAGTAATTTCTTACTGGGCATACACTGTAACTTTACCTGAAGGAACTGAATAATCTCCTTCTTCTACTATTTCTGCATAATCTTCTGATAACATAGTGCCAGTCGGATTCGAATAGCACTCTTTGCTGGAGCGACTCTGTTTGACAGAGTTGGACTCTGAAATTAAAATCATCCAATGAAAAAACGAAATTTCTAGTAGAAAGCATAAAAATTGTAGGTACTGACTGATGCATTGAGATCACATACTTTTTCTGCTAGTGTTTGAGGATAGTAAATGTATTATCAGTCAGTTCATCATCTAATTATTATGATTAATTTTTGAAATCCAGTGCACATGCCAAAATGAAAAAGTTCGAAATGTTCCAAAGATTCGAAAATATAATTCTAACCAATGGAAAAATGTAAGAACATACTTAATGTTTTGTCACTATTACTACTAACCTTTGCATGGACATGGAAATTGCTTCCAAACAGTAGCTTGGAAAGAAATAAAAGAAACAGTATGATAAGTCTATTCTATTCTAGAAGAGGCAAGAAATAGTAAATTAAAACAAACTAGAACATTTTTAGCATGCAGGTACCACATAATTTATTACATATTATTATAATTGATTATTGTTTGACTTGGAAAACATAAACTCAAAATTATGCAACACCAACAACATGCTAAATTCATTGGATGTGAAGTCCACTATATTTGATAATATATATTCCTTATCAAATATTTCAATTTTTGAATAATTGAGTTCAGTAGGTATTTATATTCAATTCAAGTATATAACCTATTTGATATCTTCAAAATTGTACTCTTTTGAAAACTATACATCTTTCATTTGATTCACTGAAAATTGTTGAATGAAAACAATTTTATATCAGACAAGTTTTGCATACACCACCCAAACCTAGTAGGTCATATATATTATGTGAGTCTCAACTACAGCATAATTATTGTTTCATTTGTTTCAAATCACGAATATCTTTCATAAGTCGAAATTTGAATATTAGGTATTGTATTTTTTTAATAACATAATTCACATGTTTATCCCATTTTAACTGTTGGTCGATGAGTATTCCTAGGTATTTTTATTAAGACCATGCATTTATCGTGATATTGTACTTATATTGAGCTCATTGAAGTTTGGCTCAGATGCTCTGTTTCTAGAAGTACGTTTTTGAATAATTCATTGTCAGTAGTCTATTTTCCATCCAAACATTAATCTTCCGAAGTACTTGTTTTTCAGTACAGTTTTGTCCATGTTGGAATATGGATGTATCGTCGGTGTATGAGGTAATAGTACCATCAATGTGAAGATGTGCAAGTCCATTCATATATAAAACAATATTGGCCCAAGAACACTTCCTTGCGGTACAAATTCTATTCTTCGCATTTCACTGATGACATTGTCAATCTTAACAGCTTGGTACCTGTCATTGAAATAACTTTCGAATAGTTTCTCCAGTGATCTGAGTAGAATAGTATGACTGACAGTGTCAAATGCCTTCGACAGGTCAATAAAAACAGAGAGCAGGTTTAGATTTATCCAATGCACATTTATGAATGGTTAGAGAGAGAATTGCATTCTGTGTGGACATGAAATTACCTAACGAGAATAGCCAAGAATAGAAAGATTATTCATCATATAAATAATAATTTCGGCGGCGCAAGGTAGTTGATTGCAGACAGTCCACTATTTATGTCGAAGATGAGTAGAGCAGTATTCAGATTTCGCGAATTCCGGAACACCGGACAAATCGTGACGATACGTTCCATTTCGATTTTCCATTTACCTTTTCTGTTCCATATGGACGCCTGAGAATTGGAATGCAACCGGCAATAGCCGTCGATGAGATCGGCGAGACTCTCGGCCGCATCCAGACTGGGACACGTGAAGAAGAGGACCTCCTGAGTGCCTGCGACCTTGAGCTGCAGAGTTGCCTTCGCGTGCTTCTCGCAATCGCTGACTAGAGTTTGGACGGCCTGGACCTGAAGATGGGCGGAATATTATTAAGCACAAAATAGGATACTTTTTATCATCATCTGATTCAAAGCTACATCGGGTGATACAGACTCATGGTATACCCCCCTTTTCTCCTTTGTTTTTCTAGCTGTATTCCTGAAATTTGAAACATCGACTATGCACACTAGAGGGCACTTTCTCACATTTTAGGAATGGAGTAGAGTACTGGGTGACCCATTGAAAATCGAACGTTGATTTAATTTCCAGGAAAATCGGAAGATGAACAAAAATTCCTAAAATGTAAGAAAGTGCCATCCAGTGAAAATATTGAATGTTTCAAATTTCAGAAATATATCTGAAAGAGTAGAGGAGAGAAGGGGGCATTGCATGAGTCTGTGTCAACCGATGATTCGTTAACAAAACCGAAACTTTGTTTTCCAATGATAAATTCTTCATTTCTGGACCGATTTCACTGATTTTGGTTTTCTTCCAGAGAAAACTAATCAAGACGGACGTTGTTTTATTAAAAATATTTGGGAAAAATGATGTAAAATATTTGAACAAAGAGAAAACCTCAAGTTATGGAAAAACTTACGTTTTTTTTACTTTCAATGTGAAAATTAACGACCAATTCTTATATTGACAAATGACACGGAAACAAGAAGTATATTCATCAGTTCTACCAACCTTGACCTCTCACGTTTCAGTGGCGCGATGTGGTGGACCATAGAAATATATAGAGAAGGGGGACAAAACATTTCATTCATAAAACAGTATTTGTTTACTAAAAAAAATTTGTTTGTTTGTTCTAAAATTTGTTCTATCCGTCATTCGGTTGCCCCCTTACGAGCAATCCTCAAAAGTCTTCGAAAGTCTTGTGCGAGCAAGGAATGACGGGGGCCTTACCTTTTAACGTGTGATCCCAAACACTTTCTTGGGCCATCAGAAAAATTTCTGCAGTCGACGGGGATCGAACCCACGACCGGCAAGCGAATGCGAATTAGAATATAGACACTCTGTCCGCACGGCTACCTGGCCACCCATACATACTTCCAAAGGTTTCAGATACGTTAGAATGAGGTGGTTTTAAAAACTGGCAACGCTGAAAACTGTCCATCAATGTTCAGACTTTTCTTCATCAGCGATATATCTATGAAAATTCCACACCAGTGATTTTTATACAGTTAAATTGGGTTTTTATGACAAATTACCATAGCAACGTATGTATTTTAGTGGACCCAGAGTATGAAATCTGAAAATTTTTTATGACGTTTCAATGACAGAATAATATTTTGAAGTCCTAAAATAGTAATTTTGGCCACTTCAATTGGGTAGAAATCAAGAATTAATAGGCTAAGACTCCATTGATGCCCTAACTGCATCTATTATATAGAATGTCATACCACTACCTGGGCGCGATTTTACTAAATATACTGTACGCTAGCACAAACCACGCCCACCGTAATCTCATCTTCGAAGTACTTAGGCAAAACTCAGAGACTATTTATCCTTAACGAACTAACCTAGTAACCTATCCCTGATTGCAATATATTTGAGGAAGGAAAACCGAATGGAGTGTAGAAACACATTGATTAATAATATATTCCAAAAGTTAAGTTCTTCAACAAAATTGAATAAAATGAGACTGTTTATCTTAAACGCACTAACCTATTTGACTTCAAATATTTTATGAAAAAGGAAAACCAGAATGAAGTAAAAAAACATTGGTGAAAAAAAAGTTGCAAAAAAAAGTTCAAGTTCACAGCGATTCGAACCATGGACCTTCAGACTGAAAGTCGACAGCGCTAACCAGTAGACCATTTGGGTATATGAATATACTGCGTACAAGAGATTGACAACGAGAGAGCTTCAGTCGAATTCGTGTCAAAATCATAAAAAGTGTATTCTTGCGTTGGAGCACAGTTTATTTAGTGCGATGTGCTGACTCCGAGTATATCGGTAATGTTTGGAGATATGACGTATTAAGGTGGGCGTGCTAGCGTGCAGTATATTTAGTAAAATCGCTACCTGGGCCAGTATAAGTATGGAAGGCTAAAATTTGAAATCTATGGTACCGATACGCTTCAACAGGAAGATCAAATTACTAAGGTGGACGGACATACTGACCTTCATCAGAAATCCACGGAGGTTCGAAAAGGAGAATCAGGAGGAGGTATAGTAGATATTATGCGCACATGACGTGTGCAGCGGGGGTCGGCAAAACAGGCTCACTGGGGAATAATTTTCAAAATATTCAGGAGCTCGAAAAAAATTCCGGAAATAATTTGACCTCCAGTGGTATTACAAGTGAGAATCGCCCATTGCTACTGAATCAAACTACAAAAATGTCATGGACATGTGAAACGTGTGTCACTTTCGACGTGCCCTGTCCTCACCTGATCGAAGTCGGCTATCTTCTTGGTGGCACTGGCCTGTACGATGGTGTGCGAGATACCGATATCGGGTCCGATGACTAGCTCGACAGGCACGGTGAAGCTGCTGCCGAAGTCGACGCGGAACCGCTCCTGGTCCAAGTTGGTGTGGTACTTCAACAGCTCGAGGTACTTGAACATGCTGTCCACGTCCGAGATGTGGGCGATCTTCTTGAAGTGCGCCTGCAAGCAAATACCTCATCGAAAACAGTTGGTTAAATATGGTCAAGTGGCCTCGAGTGCTGCAAATATTATTTCGTGAGTTCCTCAAGGTTCAGCTCTGGGCCCAGTGTTATCTTCGCTCTACATGAATGACATTGTCCTACATGTTAAAAAGTGTAAGATAAAACTCGTTGCCGACGACACTATGTTGTATTGTTCTGGGACACCCAATGAAATCACATAATGTTTGAACTAGGACCTATCAAATATTAATGAATGGTTGTGTGATAACGGCCTGAAGCTGAACGTAAATGAGACGAAATGGATGTTGATAGGTAGTGAATAACTAATAAGACAGTTAAAAGTTGACCGAGTCATTTGATGTAACAATATTAATAATTACTCTTGGAATAATGCCTCTTTCAAATTGAATGAGTACAATCAATCCTATATATTATTATTACAATAACCATGACACAATATCTTGTGTAGAGGGTTTATATTCCTACATTTGATATTAACATTGATAATGTCAGTATTGAGAGAGTCTAAGTTTTAATGCACATTGTAGTTATTTCCAGGAGAAAATAGCCACTAAAAAAACTGAAAAGTAGACATGCTGTATTTACTTCTCTTGAAAAACACCTTGTATATTAGGCCCTTTCCCTTTCCTTTGTACAAAAAGTGTAGCACTTTTTAACACTTCATGTGAGTTAACTATATTTGAGATTCATTGCTTTTTATTGTTAATAATAAATTACAACATTATCTTCATTCCAGAAATATCTAGAAACTCCTACCTAATGTTGTTGGAAGTCATTGCATGTTACCTCAAATTCACGTATCGTTTAGAAAATTTTGAAAACTTCGACCTAAATTTTTCCATTTTGAAATGATTCTGACCGATATTCTATTGAAACAAATGAGCCCTCGATGTTTTCAGTGAACTAGGGCCATAGACAGGCAGGCAAATTTTGGGTTAATAAACAGACAATATTATACCTGTCGCTCACGAATTAGCTTTTGGTTTTTTTAGGGTTTTCATCTCCCATTTTTTATTATAAGTCTACTCAACCAGCCATGGAGATTTTTTTCTGTTGTTCATGTTGCACTGTTCAGTGTAGACACAAATTCTAGAGTTAGGATAACTAATAAATAATTCAGTTAAACATAAAGGTCACTGGCTTACTGAAAATAATGTCGATAAAGTCGAAACAGACATGTGTTAATAATTGCTGAAGATCACTATTAGTGTGGGGCTCTGGGACACCTCATTAAATACAATTACGTCAAAAGTATCAAGGTACTGTACCTGCAAGCACTTCCTCAACGACTTGGACTTGACTTTTTCCAGGAAACTGGCCGGTATGAATTTTTGCATGCCTATTTCTCGCTCCAGGTACTCAAAATTCGACTTCTTGTCAAGGACATTCTGAGAGATGTCCTTGAAATACTTGCGGATTTCCAGGCAGCACAGCTGCAAAGCCACCTCCTGGTCGATCTTCTTGTGCAGCTCGGTATGGTAATCCGTTTTGACTTGGTCATAATAATAATGGAAGGTAACTACATCTTTTTCGTAAAGCTCTTTCAGACTAGTGGGTAGGTATCTTATTCTAAGGTCGTAACGCCATTCTGAGTTCGGGTGCCTTTTCAGGTATTTTTCATTGACTTGCTGCATCGTCGTATCTTGATGTAACCAGTGCACCTAAAAAAACATACAGAACTCTTTCACAACAAGGTAAATTTGTTCTATTCATTCTGATATGATCATCAACTGCTGATGATGTTCTAGTTCGGCACAACTCGTACCGACTGCGCCATTTGTAATAATACTATAGTACAGAAATATTTTTATTTTTTAACCGACTCTATTACTCAATATTATAGTAACTCAGAAAACGTGAAAACATAGCGTTTTTGAGAATCTCGTGGAAATCTCTTCATTCCTATGGTTTATTAGTAATAATTCTGTTGATGAAATTTCTTCTACTTCTTGAAAAGGAATATTCTCAGATATAATTTTATTATGAACATAAAAAAATGGATATATATATATATATATATACAACTAGGGAAAAAGCCAAATACTCAAAGTGGAATGCATTGGTCACGAAGAGAGAAACTCAAAGTCATTACCACAACAAGTTCATAAAATGAACTACAAAATGGTAGATAACGAGAGGAAAACAACTACTTTCCTGGCTATATGCCACGCAGAACATTGCATTACATCCTCCCGAAACCTATGCAATAGTTCGTATAAACGAATAAAATCGCAAGTGTTTCTTTCCTAAACGCTGAGCTGCGCTTAAGTGGTTCAGGAACGCTGACTACCTGCAGACCGGTTTCGAGCTCTTGGCTCTCATCAGTACAGGGCTGTCCCAGATAGCTTCTTGACCGCTATCTGGTGCGAACCTGACCCAACGTAAACACATCTCAGCATTTATACCATACGAGGCGTTCGAAGTCCGCGAAATGAAAACGCGTTCGGCGTTCGCGCGGATTCTGAAACTTGCTGGAGCGAAAGATATACCAAAAATGTACTCTATCACTAAGTGAGGTTATCTTCAGTGATATACACTGATCACCAACAGCCATGGAACCACCCCAATTTCCGGAAAATGATATTAGGAGTCAAAATAGGTTGAAAATCACTTTGGATTCGGCATCAGGACGCCCAATTCACTAACTATTCATAGTTTTCCTAGAAAATTTTCAGTTCTGAGGAATTAAATTTTGTCTCACCTCTCATGGAAGCACTCCAGTATCTCACGTAATTATTGAGGTGAGTTCTGAAATTTGTAGGAGGAAGGGAAAGTCCAAAGATAAAGTCAATTACGTTAATTATGTCTCAAGACTAAGTTTTTTCGCCTTCACGATGTTTTGAAAAATTTTCCACATACACTTTGTCGTTAATTTGACTGAAGATGGCCATTTCAATGGCCGAAACATGTATCAAACCTTATTGAAGCAGGATTGACTGCCTCTTTCAACATTAAAATTGTGGAGACGACTTTGAGTTTTCTTTCTTGAATGAATATGTATGGAAACGAAAACCGATATTTCTTGATGCGGATTTTTACTAACCTCGCTGGAATGGAGCCTCGACAATCGCATTGCGTAGAGTCCATTGTAGTACCTCTCTCCGGTTGACAGCCTGTCTGTCACAGTCTGAATGATGGCCTTTATCTCTACGGCATCCCCATATTTGACAACATTGAAGCCGCCATTCGGAAAGTGAACCTTAAAAATGAATGAATGAAAAGTATAATTCACTTCAACTCATTGAAGGTTTTGACTTGAACTTGTGTATAAGGCCGAATTAATGAAAGAAGAGTCATGGATATGGTTGTTTTATGAATATTTCACTATTAAAATGATAAAAATTCAGACAGTGACAATTCTCTTAATTATCAGTACAATTGGGAAGATATTGTTCCTAAATTTCAACCAGAGGTTTATAGAATTACTTTTTTGGGCATGCAGCTACCCAAAATTTTGTCTCAGAATATTGAATTTCGAGCATTTTTCAAATAAAAAAATGCTCTTACTTATCCATACATTTGAATGTTTTCAAATCCTCATAAATACAGCTGGTGAGATTCTTTTCCATTAGAAATCACTTCACGAAAACTTGGGCAGATTTTCAAAAACAAAAAAGCCTTAATTGAATATATTGAATATAAAGAGTGTTCCATTCAAAAAAATGATTTTTGAAGATTTCTTGATACCGTTTGATATTTTGGTATCGTACATTCATAAAAAATCACATTGGTTCGAGAGATATTGAACTTAGCCCACTGTATTTTGGGTGACCCAGGAAAAAAACTGCATATTTTATTTTCTTGAATACTTTATCGATTGTATTATATTATGATGTAATAGGAAATATCGGGGAGTTCAGTTGATCGGGCTACACGAAAACTACTTTATTGCTATGCCAAACTTTCGAACTTTTTTATTTTCTTCTTCAAGGCTGAAACAATATAAAACATTTTTGTTACAATTCTAATCTATTATATTTTGTTAGTGATGATATTAAAAATCACTCTATTTTATAAGATATTCAATAACAATATAATTTCATTTCTTCCGATATATAAATTATATGATTGTTGTCACTGTCCTATCAATTTTATGTCTACAATCACAATCTACATCATCTATACTTTTAAGACTTATTATTATTCCAATTTATACCTTTTAACTCACATTGCAAGTAAGTTCTTGTTTTTGTTGAATTGAATTGTAACAAAATGTTTCATATACCATAAACTGTTTCAGCCTTGAAGAAGAAAATAAAAATTTTCGAAAGCTTGGCATAGCAATAAAGTAGTTTGCGTGTAGCCCGATTCACTGAACTCCTCAATATTTCCTATTATATCATATTTTATTTTCACTAAAATAAAAACCAAAATGTATATTCATGAATGTTTGAAAGTCCTGTACAATGAATTTGAAATAATGTATTCATTTGCGAGAGGAACCATCCATTCGAACTACTTCGACGTCAGGAAAACAAATAAACATCATCACCATAATCATTAAAATGACAATAGGAAATTCGAAAGATAAAATTGAATAATGTTCCACTTAAAATCAACAAAGCACAGCGATAGCTTATCGCTTCAATGCCTTCAATGAAACGATTTTTAACAATGTCATTCACATTCACCGGGAAACATATTTTTATAATTCGTAATGAACTTGATAACATCTCTTTCTGTATAATTATCTCTGATTCAAATATTTTTCACTTAAAATTGATATCGAGCGGAATATTCAACAAGGGCACTCATAAGCAGTTCTGACACAGATTAACAAAGTTAATCTGTGGTTCTGATATTCGGTAGCCTCAGCCGGAGATTTGTAAATTTAACGCCCTGTATTTCAGAACCAAAGAACTTCACGATTCTGCAAGTGCAATCAGTTCATCGAATTCTACAACATACTGAAAATTCAAAAAAATTCAGCGAAAACCATTTTACGTACTAAATGTGCATGGTCCTTTCAGGAAAATCCGTTCACAAATGGAGAAGTTACAGGGATGGCCAGATATCCGTGTCACCCGGTATACCAATATTAATAATTATTATAGTTTACCATTAATCTATCTATCATCATCTACTCTTCATCACTTCAATATTAACAAATAAACTAATGATGTTTTTTCTGTTAGTATACTATTATACAGGGTGGGCCACCAGTAACGCCTCGGTCTCTAGAAGGCTAACCACTTATCTTCTTGGAATTCTTCCTCTCTAGGAAGTTGCATGTCAACATAGGCTACCATTTGAAATTATTTTGAAACATACAGGATGTCCCCAAAAATCACAAAACATTGAAGTTGAACTTTTTTCTATCGAACACCCTATATATTATTTCATTTTGAGTTCTCCCTGATGAGCTGATTTCAACGACCCATCATACTTGGGGTCTAGCAGTTATAATTACTGAAATATAGGGTGTGAAAAATCGAGATTTTTCAAGTTCAAGAATTTTTTGTGTCGAAACTATTCATCTTTGGTCAAAACGGCTTACATGTCCCAATCTCAACTTTTGATTAACTATCTACTGATATTTAATTGGGACATATACCGGGTGATCAAGATTCTGAATTCTGCACCACCCTGTATTTGTTTCAATTAAATGTCAGTAGATAGTTGATCAAAAGTTGAGATAGGGACATGTAAGCCGTTTTGACCAATTATGAATAGTTTCGACACAAAAAATTCTTGAAATTTTTCAAGCATCATGAACATTGAATTTTGTAGTTCCAGGTTATCTGACATGAGAAATACGAAAAATGAAATAATATATAGGGTGTTCGATAGAAAAAAGTTCAACTTCAGTGTTTTGTGATTTTTGGGGACATCCTGTATGTTTCAAAATAATTTCAAATGGTAGCCTATGTTGACATGCAACTTCCTAGAGAGGAAGAATTCCAAGAAGATAAGTGGTTAGCCTTCTAGAGACCGAGGCGTTACTGGTGGCCCACCCTGTATTGTTGTTATTATTATTATTATTATTATCATCAATTTCATCATTGTTATCAATTTCAATCAACTTCAGAATCAAGAAGCTCCAGAATTTATTGTAGATGCCTACATCCATAGTGTATGCCTCATGAATCACATTTGTACAGGGTGATTCACCATAAATGTCCCCCCCTCTAGCTCAGTTATTTTTGAACCGATTTTAAAATTTGAAATATCATCTTGAATGATTTTCGATAAAGTTTTTTTCCGTTACATCAGAAAATACAGGGTGCTCGGAACAAACCATCTACAGGGTACTATTTGATTTTTTTATATGGAACACCCTATTTTTCATTGTATTTCAAGATTCTCCCTGAAGAGCTGATTTGGTCAATGTACCACACTTTGGGTCTAGCGGGAATGATCACAGAGATATAGGGTGTTCAAAATCGAGATTTTTCAACCTCAGGATTTTTTTGAGACAACATTATTCATCATCGGTCGGATCTCAACTTTTGATTTACTATCTACTGACATTTAATAATCGGAACAGATACAGGGTGATCAGAATTCTGAATCTTGAACCATCCTGTGAATGTTCCAATTAAATGTCAGTAGCAGACAGTAAATCAAAAGTCGAGATGGAAACATAGAAGCCGTTTCGACCAATAATGAATAGTTTAGAGACAAAAAATCCTAAACTTGAAAAATCTCGATTTTGAACACCCTATATCTCTGTAATCATTCCCGCTAGACCCCAAGTGTGATTGATGCAATCAGCTCTTCAGGAAGAATCTAAAAATACAATGAAATACAGGGTATTCCATTTGAAAAAATCGAGTAGTACTCTGTAGATCATTTGTTCCGAGCACCCTGTATTTTCTGATGCAACGAGGAAAAAAAATCTGAAAAATCATTTTAGATCATTCATCGAATTTTAAATCGGTTCAAAAATAAGTGAGCTAGAGAGGGGGACATTTATGGTGAATCACCCTGTACGTGTTGGTTAATATTTTTTCATGAAATGCCCATGTTCAAGGTTTACCTTTTTTTGAGTGTGATGTTTTCATTTGTCTCACATACACATGTATTGAAATAAGGAATATTCAATAAATACTGTCTAGAGATGTTAAAACGGATTCGCCTTTTGACCATGGAAGGAGACACATGGCCTCTCCAAGTCAAAGTCAGATTAATGTGTGTGCAAGTCTATAATTTTAATTTTTCTAATTACCTGATCTGGATTAAAATCCAATATTTATTGTGAAGTTTAATAAGTGTTTGTGAAAATTATCAAGCCCTTTTATCTCTACGCCGGTATAGAGGCCGGATGGTGACGGATTCACCGGATAAAGGGGCCATTCTTGAAATCAAACGTGCTCAGCATGAGCACATACGATAGAATCTTTGACATTGATGAACTCGGCTTCCGGGCATGGTGACGGACTACGGTGTCTTTAGTGCTCGAGTCGATAGATAATATTATTACATAACCATATATATTCTTGAAAAAATTAATTACCTGATCTGGGGAAATTGTTACCGAAAGGTGACAGAAATCCAATAAACCCAAAAGAAGAAGAAGAAGAGAAGATGTTAAAACGTTGTATAATGACAAATAAATGATTGATTGATTGATTGATTGATTGATTGATACCTTGACAGTGGATCTGTCACCGGTGGCAGGACTACTCTGCGGTGACTTTTTCGGACTCTCCATGTTGTTTCTGGTGGGGGCACACCTCACGGGTGAGCCCTGACTTAGGGAGGGTGCCGAAGATACATCACTGAAACAAAGAAAAGAAGTGTTCAGAAAAATATTGGATTTTGGAACAAGAAGTGTTGCTTTCGTCGAGCAGTTTATATTATACATTATGCAACAGGAAAGTAAATTGAGCTCCTGGGGATTAAAATCTACCAGGTTTTTATATTATAAGACCCACATGTTTTACCAGCTGCTCGATACTTGTTCTGCAGATGTAAATACAAAAGTTTGTGTATAAAAGCGTTTTTTTTATAAACATGGTTATCACGAAGTATCCTTTGTGTCTATAATTAGCCATTAATATATGAACATAATTATTATTAATACGTAAAATATGTCATATTTCTAATATTTGTTATTTGAATAAAATTATCTGGCTTAACTTCACCTGCATCATCTACAGTCGCAAATAAGGAGAACGTTTATAGATGGTGATTCATTTAGAATGGAGAATCTCTGAACTACAGATACTAAACAATAAAATATTAAGATTTAGCTCAACATGCCTGATAATAATGTTAATGGTTCGGGAGATACCGGGTGTTCTAGGTGAAGATTTCATTTTGAAATTTTTCAATAACTATGTCAGTTTTAACAGCATTATGGACATTTAATTTTGTAGTTCCAGGTTATCTGACATGAGATATACGAATTCACAATTTATTTATTTCAAAGTGAATGTTCGACCAAATTTAAGGAACAATTTGAATTAAAATTTTCGCATGAATACCTTGTATCTGTAACATTTATATAAGGCATGCTGGGATGAATCTCTTCACATTTTGGTGTTTACTATATGAAGTTCAGAGATTTTCATTTTTAATGAGTTACCCTGTATATCTTAACATGTAATGTGACAAAAACCGCTACTAAGCGAGCAATGGTTCCTTAGTGGGACCCAATTAATGTTTTTTTCAGTATTTTAGAAACAATAGTGAGGTATATATTGAAAGTTACTAATAGTGGGGTATATGTTGAAAGTTACTAATACAACAAAATAGTTATTTAACCAACTAGTGTATTAATGAGGGCGATTAATGATCGAGATATTTAGCCTTTTAATATACAAGTTGGTTACAAAATTTTTCCGTCGACTATATTTCTCATTTCTCCTGCAATAAAGGAAACTTGGTTCGCGAATTCATCATCCATCCGGAAACTGCTAAGAATCACCCAGTAGCCTTGTTACTGACATTAGTGACATTTGACATTTGTCGAAATGATCAACATAGGAAATCAATTCCTTGTGTTAGAAAACAGGGATTAAAATCGTGTCAGAAACTTGGAAAGGCTAACCCGTTAACGGAAAATCGTCGATGAAATCCATATTTTCGATTTGAATGCAGATTCCGTAAGTTACAGCATAAACAATGAATGCACGCGGTGTATGTTTGGTTGCCTATAAAACAATCGTGCATTAATATACAAATCGTTTATTAATAGGGGTCATTAATGAACGATTTCCTATACATTAAACTTAGTCGTTAATACGAGGTCGACGGAAAATATTATAACTCAATGAGTTCCTTCGTTACTCGTACATCGAATAAAATGGGGCTCTGGGTTAACTTGTTTGAATGTTATTTCTCAAGGACAGCTTGCTCTATTTTCAGTGTCTCTCATAATAAACAATAATTATGTTACCATTGTTGATCTAAATGAAAACTTAGTAGGCGACTTCTAGTGCAAGGAGGTATAATAGTTGTACAGTAATCAAAATTGCAAATGGAAACAGGAAATTTTCGTGGATTTTATGTCAAAAATTGATATGATGATAATATATGATATGTTCCTTTTTCTTGAATGAGTCCTTCGAGTGATGAATTAGTTAAACCAAGTAGTCGTAAATTATCACTGTTTGATTGGTTTATAAAAATAACCATAAACTTTGGTCAACGAGAACGGAATTCGGTTAGAACCATTTATTTAAATGACCATAGTTGAAGGCCCCTCAAGATTACGACACTGATTTTAGTATCGCAATGAGATACTTTACCGAACTAGAGCGGTAAAGTGAACAAATTTATTTTCAAATTTTATTGTTACTCAAAAAAATAAATGAGAACCAATTTATCATGAATATAGCATATACTGAAGTTTCGTTTGCTACATTCGCCGCAATTTCTATATATCGGAATTAAAACTCTCCTGATCCGAATTCATGCCGATGAATTTTTTTTCGTATTGAAATTAACGCGTCAAAGTTGACAGTTCGCCGAATGAGTGACAATCGAGAACACAATAGATTCACGACAAGCATATGCCTAACCCTTGCAACGCTTGCTTGTTACATATTCCTAATGAATCGTCAGTTCAAGGATTATTGAATATTTTTGATAGAATAATTAGCTTTTTGGTAGTATTGTACTATATTCGTATCGTAAATATCTATTTCCGTCGACCTCGTATTAACGACTAAGTTTAATGTATATGAAATCGTTCATTAATGACCCCTATTAATGGACGATTTGTCTATTAATGCACGATTGTTTTATAGGCAACCAAACATACACCGCGTGCATTCATTGTTTATGCTATAACTTACGGAATCTGCATTTAAATCGAAAATATGGATTACATCGAAGATTTTCCGTTAACGGGTTCGCCTTTCCAAGTTTTTGACACGATTTTAATCCCTGTTTTCTAACACAAGGAATTTATTTTCTATGTTGATTATTTCGACAAAAGTCAAATGTCACTGATGTCAGTAACAAGGCTACTGGGTGATTCTTACTAGTTTCCAGATGAATGATGAATTCGCGAACCTAGTTTTCTTCTTTGCAGGAGAAATGAGAAATGTAGTCGACGGAAAAATTTTGTAACCAACTCGTATATTAAAAGGCGATTAATGATCTCGAACATTAACGCGCTCGCTTCGCTCGCACCATCTCGACCATTGATCGCCCTCATAAATACACTAGTTGGTTAAATAACTATCACAATATTGTCCAAAATATTATGTTTAGATCATTGATTGAATCAACGTAACTGTGGTAACTCAGTCTTCTTGAAATAGGAGTAGAGTCAATTAATGTCATCTCATATAACTCATTTTGGGTTCGATCAAATCATTTTGCATCTCAGGAATATCAAGAGAATTATAATACTAGATAATGAACTGTCACAACTAAAACATAAATGTCCTGAATTATACACCCGGAATGCTTATTACGAGTTACCTATTCGCCGGGCGGTAAAATAGTCCGCGGGAGGTAAAGTGCCACTTCACGCCCACAAAACCGAGAGGTAAAGTGCTACTTTACGCCAGGTCGTGCATAAAAAAATCTAATCGATATGGAACGGGAGTGCCTACCTTTTTCTTCAGTTTTGATAATGTTTTCTCCATGCACAAAATTTAAATTTCATAACAAACAATTTCAAGAAATTTTCCGTTAAGTCAGTAGTTAGTTTTAATCTTCTCCTGAAGATGCTAACATACTTAGCGAAACACGTGTAGAGGCGTGAAAAAAATCGGTTTGGTAAGTGGTAAAACAGTGTGTAATGTATTATCGTGCCAAAGGTTCAAGTCTTCGATATAGCAACTTGCCGGTGTTTATAGACAATTCGACAGCTGAAAAATTCTCGTTGGCCTAAACTTTTACTATGGTAGGTAGGTCACTGCATACATACATACATTCATGCAAATCAGAAAAACAACGCAACAAGACCCAAGTCGACGACTCAATCCTTCATTATTATCATTATCTCTCTCGATATACGTTCATAATAGGTAACCACCTGGCTTTTCATCGAACGTGGAAGAATGATGTAACGCAATACGCACACCTACGTTTTTCACGCCACAACGTCTGGGTTGGCCATGCGAAGTCAGCAACAAGTGGATAAACACAGCCCGGTCACACCAGAAATTTTACATCGAAATGTCCAAGTCCCAAGTAACATAGCAAGACATGATAACTATTCGCAAAATAATAATTTCTATTCACAGGGAAGCCTATGACTTTGACTGGCCGACGAATTTTTTGTTAATTATGACAATCTATGTTCTACATGCAGGGTAATAGTAGAGTTCGATGAGGTTAACTTTGGGACACCACGTGATTCAACGAATATGCATATTCAATGCATACACGACCACGTGCTGTCCTAAAGTTAACCTGGTAAGACTCGAGTAGTACCTATAGTAGGTACAGGGTGTCTTAAAATTCAATAACAAAATTTCAGGGGCTTATTATTCAGATCGAAATGAAACTTTTTCATCTTAACATGAGTGTTACCGATCTACAGAGTAAAAAAAATTAAGATTCTTTCTTCTTTTCCCAATAGCTATTTATAGGTTTTCAAGATATTCAGATCGAATTTGAATCACACATTACGTTTCAAGTTTCACATCGTACAGAATTCCAAGTGATTGTAAGAATCTACAGGAAAATATTTTTTCACGGGTCAGGCCCTTTGTCGCTCCTAAACTATTTTATGGTACGCCACTGGTAGACTTTGAAATACGAAATGATTTATTTGTTTTGTTTGTGAACTTTTTGTCTCTATTGTAATTTTTACGCATCTCCGACCGTTATCGAGAAAAAAAATCATATTTTATAATTTGCTATAGATTCGATTGAATTTGTTAACAAAAGGGATTAACATATTATAACAAAAACAGAAGAATAATACAAACATACATACAATATAGCAAACGTTGTTTTGCCATAAATACTATATCTAGAAAATATTTTCTCAGTTGAATATTTATCAACTCACTTTCATCATTTTGTTTTCTACTTCTTTTTAGTTGGACTATCCATAGAATCGTGTTTCATTAATTTTACAAACTACTATTCATTTTCTACTTCTTTTCAGTATTGCCTCGAGTTTGGCTATATATTAAAGCGTGATGTATTATAGTTTTTCAAACTACTATTTATTACAATGTTCGTTGGCAATATTGGATCTGCCATCTTGAATTTCCAAATTTTGATGAGACCCCAAAATCCCCCAGATTTTTGAATGGAATCGGATCATAATTACAGAACTCGTCCGCCAAATTGGATCAGTCATCTT